CCTTGTGGTGGAGTGATTCCACTAGCACTTCTCTTTTCCTTTGGTAGATGGTCTTTTCTCTACAACTTTAAACAACATACTATAAGACTTCAACACATCTACAAATAAATTTCACATCTAAAGCAAGAATCCTTACTTTAGGATGTTTTAGATTAACTCTCTACCAAAAACTACTCAAAAGCCCTCCAAAAGTCCTTAGAAATTCTTGCAAAATTGAGTGGAAGTTTGAGAGAAAATGGGGAATAGGAATGGCTGTGGAGTAGAGAAGAATGAAGGGTTTACTAAGCTTAATCCCTTTTTACCTCATAATATAACTACTCTTTTCTATTTTGCCCTTGCTCTTTCTTGAAAATTTCATCTTTGTCCTTTGATTCATTGCACTCACATCCCCACCTCCAACACATTCTCCATGAAATTTTCTCACATTTCACTCCCACTTTTCCTGCTAATTAGGGGTAGAATGGTCATTTTTTCCCTATGGAAAAATATCTAGAAACTTCATTACACATTTCAGCTGGCCCGTCGCCGTAGTGAAGCTTTTCCGTCACCCGGCGAAGAATTCCAGAGCATACGTCGCCGCGGCAAAGATTCTTCCTCGCCCCGACGAAGGCTGAAATCTAAAAATTCGCAATTCTTAACCAATTTCAGGGCAAACACTCAACCAAACTAACACATCGCTTCAACCAAGGGCCAACCAAACAATATTAACAATATATCAACTCAAATAAGAGCAAAACAATAAACATTCAAGCAAAACAACAAATCTTAACTACGTACCTCAAGTGGGGCGTTACAATTTATCCCCATGAGGATTGTGACGATCCAAGTCTTTCTGCTAGTGTGATGATTCAAGTGTGACGATTCATCCCAAGTGTGACAATTCAAGTGTTTCTGCTAGCGTGGATGGTCAAGGACTTGACCCATGGGGATGAGTCGAGTCGAGCAGATCGATGTTGGGTGAGGATGTTCACTCGACCCATGAGGAGGAGCCGAGCTGGGAGGGTCTTGGATGTAGTATGGGTTATTCATATTGATGGGGTGGTCAATGTTGGTGATATTTTGTTATTGGTGGCTGGGAATGGCTTGAGTAAGCTGGTCATGGGTGATTGAGGGGTTAATTGATAAGGGTCGTGTTTGCATGGCTAGGTTTACTATATTTGTAGTGGTGGGTGCTAGGCCACCAGTTATGGATGACTGGAACTTGGAGGATTATGGGTCTGAGGTCGAGGATATGGGGTTTGGGGTAATGAGTGGTTGCATGGGATTAACCGGGACGCAAAAGCGTTTCTTCGGTATCTGGTTGGGTGGGAAATCTAAAAAGTAAAATTGAGTTACCTTTTCACGCAAGCTTTAATTCTCGGCTTAGATGTTGCTGTTTTTCAAGACTTAACTAAAACACACGTTACCTTTGTTGTCCTGGCCATCTTGCCTTAAAATCTTAGGCTATCGCAGTTATTTCAGCTGAAAATAGCTGTTGAGACCAGTTTTGATCTGAAAATCTGCATAAGCTGTAGGATGAGAACCTGCAAATTCATTCTGATTAATTGAGGTCAGGCCAGGTTATAATTATTCTTTGAATATGTACAGAGTTGTTTTGGATCTTTCTTAGCAGGTTTTTCAGTTTGTCACTAGCATAATATCTTTATCTTTAATTTTTCTAGAAAAATTGCGCTAATACAATAATATAGGTAGGGATTAAGCGAAGTATGTTCTTCTTTTTTGCAGGGCAAGCTGTGTAATGTTAAACAAAGGAAAATATATTGTGGAAGCTGTTTCAACTTTGAATACCATCCTCCACCTAAACACTTCTCAGACGAAAGCAGACCTGAGGCCTCTTCTACTTTGGAGCCACTTCTGTCACTGAAAAGTTTTCTCTTGTATATAACCATCCTTTTCTAATGCGCACACTAGATGAGATTAATCTCAACTCCCGTACATTGTCTTTGCTTGAATGCAAACTTAGTATCTACTACTATTGTTTCTTTCAACGAACCCATTTTTTGTCATCAGATTTTAGTGGTTCTAACCTACTCTTTCTGCAATAAAACCTGGGCTAAGAATTGATATTGAGGTCTGCTACCTTGAAATGAGGTGATCTTGTTATTACACATCAAATTAAACTGTATAACTTGTACATTGTCTTATGTATAATTAAATTTTTGCCTAGTAGTTTAGGGCAAGAGCCATATTGTGCGCTTCTACTTGTTGATTTCAGGTCCTGCTCGCATGACTACCTTACACCCTGTAAAGCATCAAGTTGTACTGAAGCGCCTTCATTAGTTCCTTCTTGTACAAGTCGATGCCAGGTATATTGTGATTGAACGGATGTGTTCGAATTTTGTAGGTTCAACGCTATTGTAGATTTATATATTGGATGGTATGACCAAATTAATTGCCAACTCATTTACTGTTGTACAGCAAAAAATCTAAGCAAACAAATGACTAAAGAGAGCAACCAATGAATAGTTCTTAATCAGTGCTGGCCTCTGAGTTGGAGGTATTATCTCTGTTATTCTTTCGTTACCATTACACCGATTAACAAGAAGAGAGTTCAGAGTAAATTATGAAGTATGAATGGAGGCACCAGAGCTTGACGTAATCCAACCAGTCCTGGGCCAATCATCTTGTCTATTCCTTTCTGTTGTCACAGATTTTTCACGCATCTTTCGAGTATAGCACCGCCAAGCTGCTTGTATACCACATGCTGCCCAAGTCCTCCAATGGTCAAAGTAATACCTGAAAGCATGCAGGAGCTGAGTCCTGTTAAGCCGCTTGAATAATTTAGAGGCAACAAACTTCAAGTCATCAATCGTTAAAACAAAGGCGACAACTTCTGGGCTCTAATAGTTCTAGTTGAGATAGGAAGGTCATTAGTTAAGGACCGAGGATATGGAGCCCATGAGATAAGTCCTATAATTGTTTCTTTCAATGTGCCCATTTTTTCGTCTGGATTTTAGTGATTTTAACTTATTCATGCTACAACAAAACCAAGGATACGAATCAATTTTGAGATGTGTTGAATATCTTGAACTTGAAATGAGGCGCTGTAACTAGATAAAATCAAATTCATATATAGAAGTACATAGAGCTAGAATCATATATATTATCTCTATTTTCCAGACAAATCCATGTATATTAACAGCTCACATCTGATTTATGGCTCCTCAATGTTGATCTCAGGCTCTGCTGATCGCTGTTGAGATAATGCTGGTAGTGCTCTCTCGGATGATCTGACACCCTGGATAACATTAACTAGTGCTGAAGCACCATGTTTGAATATATCTTGCAATTCAGGCTCTATTTCTCCAGCTGACCTTTGCCAGTTCCTTCTATTAAGATAGTTACGCCAGGCATTTTGTATGACACGAGCTGCATCAATGACATTTTTCAAGCTCAATCCAGAACAGTTAGAAAGCTGGTACTTAATAAATACATTTTTCAAGTCATTTGCCAAGAGAGCAAAGGCTTCAACTTTAGTAAGGGCTTGAATAGTTCTTGTTGACATAGGGAGATTGGATGATGAGGGTTCATCCAGAGCCCATGCTATAAGGTCTTCTCCACAGAAGTCGCCATCTTTCAGATGATCTTTAGTTTTACATTTTATTCTCTTTGTGATGTTCCGTGCTCACCGAAGCAGAGGCAGAGGCAGAGGAAGTTGTGTTTAGCCTTGGAGGTGTAGGTCCATAGTTTGCCGTGCACTATGAAAAGCATCTCATCAATTGGGTCTCCCTCTCGGATTATGTGAGTGCGCTCAATAGAAAGCTGGCTTTACACAATCACACAGGCATCCAGTATTGTTTCATTCAACTTTTTAAATTCTTCTACCTTCAATTACATCCAAGAAAAAGAATGAGAAAATGGTTTGGTTATAGCTACATTGTAGCATCGACAATGAAAAAGAAACTTATTTTTTTAACAGTTCCGAGCAGAGTTCAGTTTTATGTTCATTCTAAGGTCCTTGGGAAGATTATTGAGCAAATTGTCTACATCAACACATTGGTTTCTCGCCAAATGTATCTTGGTGTTTCTTAACCTGTTGTTGCAGATTCTCAGAGAGCTTGCCGAAGGACATCCATTGCTCTATCTCTCTCTCTTCAGTCTCATCTCCGCTGACTTATAGTCTTGGACTGCAGATATGTCTGTTTCACAAGAAGAATGATTCATAGAAGTAAAGTTTATTGTTTAAATTATGAATGAATTTCCCAGTTTATTCTATTAATGTTATGATTGAGTTATCACGATCTGAACTTCAATTCCTGGCAGAAGGGGTCCATTAAATGATTTTTTTCCTTCTACTATCAAGTTAGTAAGAGTTTATAAGATTGTCTTCTGGTAAAACTCATTCTTTCTGGAATTGAAGTCCAGAATTTAAGAAAATATTGATGTTCATGAGAGTAAGAACTAATCAATCATATGCATTGCAATAAAATCAGAGAATTTAAGAAAGAGAAAAATGTTCACCCAACCTGCATATTTCCGATGAGAAAGAGGAACAACAACAAACCAGAAATGGTAATCCAAACTGCAAAGAAGTTTTCCCAGATGAAGGTACTTGTTTGTAGATTTTGACCAAAACAGCTGAAAAGAAATTGAATGTGACTAATACACAGACATACCTCAGAATTGTAACTTCTACAGAGTAAGAAAATTTTATGGAGTCATGGACAGACAAAGTACTCGATATAAATGTTTGAAACCAAGACAAGATTCATGCAGGGGCTGTATTACTGTATTTTGGTTCAATACCTGCGCTAGACACTTTAAATGACATAACATAGAACAAACCTGAGGTTTTGCAGGCCCATTGGGAGCAACGTAAAAACTTCTGTGGAAAATCTGTCATCTCCACAATGCCAGACTGAAGAGCATCATGGAACATTCCAAAATCAAAAGCAACCGTGTTCTGAGTCTTTGTAGAACAAAAATCATTAGAAATTTGTAGTCTCCTGAACTTTGATTACAGTTAAAAGAACCTTGACTACATCCAGTATGATTATGCAGGCATTCTTCCAGCTACAGTCAGTTCTCATGGCAAAAAAGTACCACAAGGCTCCAAATACCTAAAGATCCAGCAAGTCACTTGTCAATCAGAAACTTGTAGTCACCACTAGGGGTATTATCTCTGATCTATAACACAATAAAGAAATGATAAATTAACTTACATGACCAGCAAGCATGTAAAGAAGAAGATTGAATGCAGCTTTGGCCCATATAGCTTCATCAAAGACATCTGAAATCCTAGTAGCTTTCATAAACAATGGGTAGATTCTGATAACCCTTGGCACATATTGGAAAAACACGGAAAATTTTAACAACTTCATCCCGGTAAAAAGTGCGGAGCCTCTCATTGTTGGAACCAATAATAAAATCACCACCTGGACAAAGGCCAATAAGTTTAGAGTCTATATAAGTAGGGAAGTGTCTGTGTCAATATAGTTAACAACATTACGCTGAAAAGAATTTTGCATTACCTGTGCAAGTGGAAGAATGGCGAGAGTGTCGATTGGAAAGTGTTGATGCGTGATTTTTGTACCAACGAAACGCATGTGTGAAATGCTGTGCTGACCCAGAAGACACACGTGAATGTAATGGATAAAGAGATAGTAAATGTAATGGGAACAGTTTTTAAAGTGGTTCGGATGCTAAGATAACAAGTCCTACATTCACTAATGATTATATTGATGATAAAGGTCAAGTCGCTCTTAGCTAACTGACTTTACAATAATATTACAAGGTATTGAATGCTAAGAATTCTAGAAAAGAGAGGATAATTAATCAAGCGTGTAAAATGTGCCAATCCCCTTCAATGAGAGATGAGCTTCCAATTTATAGTGAGATGCCATGAGGCAATGATCACTAAATCTGTAAGGTGGTAGGATTATCCGTGCAAATCCTTCTTTATATCACATTGCCCACCTTCCAGAGTGATTTGTGCGATTTAGAGCAGGGATTGGACACATGAAAGCACCACAGCTCTTGACTAGCCTGACGTGCACCCACTGTCCTGACGGACGCAGGCAGTGGTTGTTCCAATAATCTGACTTTTGTGGGCTGAAAGAACCTGACGTTAGGCCTCATATTTTTTAGGCATAACAGAAAGAAACGCAACAAATATTTCCTGGCTACAGTGCAAGCATCTTTATGCAAATTAACTTGCTTATATAGCTTATAAAAAGGAGCAAAAAAATCATTATCAAGCCGGGAAATAATACAGATTATATGAAAGAAGTCAAAGACCGAACGGAGAATAATGGCAGTAGTCCCCAACTTTTTGTCAAATTTAAGGCACTTTTGATCATCATTGATCACAGGAATGTAGAAGAACAAAGGATCCAATGAGATGCCAATGACGCACAATATAAGAAAGATCCACAAACCCAAAGGCCCCTGTGGGTCAATTTTCATGTGCAGCAAAATTTTGGCCACAATGCCGTAACAAGATCTTGGTAAGCTTCTAATCCATTCATTTTCAATTCCAAGTTTCCGGGAAAACTTCCTTTCTGTACCTTCCTCTAAATTCAAGTTGGGGGACCTGAACAAAACATTAGTAATTTACATTTTAGTTTGTTGCTCTCCCCTGTTCATGTGCAATTACCATATGTACATTTTGGAAACACCAAAGAGCCAATGATGGACAACAAGTTTATCATTCTTTCACCTACATCGTCAAGAAGAACGTAAAAATCACACCAAAACAAGAGAATTTCAGATTTCAATCAGGCCCCCTACCTTTTGGAAGCCAACTGACCTCCCTGAGGTTTAATAAAGTATCACCGATCTCTCCTGGGTTAAGTAGAACAGACGCCGATAATCTTAGGCGACTTTTGGGCTTCCTTCTTCCTTGTATATTTTCCTATATTATATGACCCGAAAACAAAATGCTATGGTATGTATTTTCCTCCATCCATTTAGCAAGTTATAGAGGATAAGAGAATCACTCCTGTTTCTTAACGTACAATCGTAAAGTAGTGTGGTCATAAATTTTTTCTTTTGATTACTTGTAGTTATATAAAGAAATCGTGATTCAATGGATTGTGTGCAGTAATCAGGAATATGGTCCCATGTTCAACTTTTTGAGGATTTCTCAGGACAACAAAAAAAAAAAAAAAAAAAAAATCTTTTCATCTTTATTCATTTTACAGTTTTATACAATTTCCACATGTTGATTCAAGAGGATTGAAAAACGTGTCTCTGTTTGTCTTGCAGACATTAATATTATATTAATTGCTTCTAAATGCATATAAACTGTTCTTAACCCTGCTTGGAGTAGTGGTTTATTTTTCTGGAATTTGAGGGGTTGATAAAATTTAAAGCTATACAGTAAAATTCCTCATAAATTATATGGGGGACTAACTAATTTATTAATATAAGATGTTAACTTAATAGAAATGTATAAAAAAATTTCTTATTCATAATTCATGTTTTAATAGTATAATATTATGATTTCAATTCGTGTTTTAATAATATTGGGGTTTTAATTAACGTTTCAAATGTTACTTTGAAACTAATAGAAGGTCGTGTTTGAAACTAACAAAGATAACTGTCCTTGATAGAATTGTAAATGTAATTGCTGCATGGAACGATGTGAAGGCACAGACAATTGCCAAATGTTTTAAGTATTACAAAATTAGAACACCCGATGTCGATAATTGCAGTACAAATGAAGTAGATGATGGAATCAAAGAGTATTGTAGAATTAAGTAATCAGATTCGACAACTTCACTATACTAATCGAATGAATATATGTCTTCCTTAATCATCCAAATGAGTAACAAGTCATATATCTTTAACAAAGAACAAAACATTTTACAATTAAACAAGAAGAGAAAGAAATAATTATGAGGTTGATAGTAGGAAAATACAAAATTTTATGTCAAGAAGCTCTAAACATGATTGAGAAGTTAGAAATTGGTTTTGGTTGTAAAAGAAATGTTCATGCTATACCCACAAGTTAAAAGATGTAATAACACTCTAAATCATAAATTATTGTCCCAAAAACTTCAGATAAATATTTATTCATCTTAAACATTTATTGTAACATACCAATTTTTTTTGTTAATATAAGAATAATTATTACTATGTGGAGGCAACTTTCCTTAAGACGGGAATTAGAAAAATATAAACTTATTATAACGTGGAGTTTATTCTTATTTATAATTATCTCAATTGAGAATGAAAATTTGTATAATTATGTAGAGTTTATTCTTATATAAAGTATCGCTACATAGAGGTTTTACTGTAATAAGTAATAAACAAGAAATAGTAATTACTAAAGAATTAACATGAGTAATGCTACATTTACACCACTATTTATATGATTTTTCATTAATCATGATGTGGCAATGCTACAACTACATAAATTTTATTAAATATTAAAATTCAAAATAATTAAAAATTTGTGTGATTATGACATATGCCACATCATGATGTAATGAAGTCGGTGTAAAAGAGTGGTGTAAACGTAGCATTATGTTGGAAAGATGGCCATTTAGCAAATGACATGGGGCTAGAAGTGATAATGGAAAAGGGTTTAGGGACTATATGTGATAGGCCAAAATGTTAGTTTGTCCCACATTGCTTGGGAATGAAAAGTGGGAAACTTTTGAGGCCTATATATAAGGACCTAAATCATGTTATTTGTATCCCAAGTGTAATTCCATTATACTTCTTTTGTTTAGGGTTCTTTCTTTAAGGACCCTTTAGTTTGCAAGTTTTGTGTTGTATCTCCCTTTGTTTTGGGTATTGTTGTATTGCAAAAAGTTTGTAATATCATTTGGAGATAGTGGTGGAGTTCTTTTGCAGCGCCGAGGACGTAGGTTTTATACAAACCTCGTTAATTCCTGGTATTCTTTATTTTTGCATTTAATTTTAGCAATTTATTTGCTTTACTAATTGTTATTATTATTCAATAAGCTAGCATTAGAATTTATGTTTCCATGCATAACAATTGGTATCAGAGCCTAGGTTTAGGACAGTGAGTAGCTATTTGTATGGTTATATGCATGTATAGGAAAATTTTGTCAAAAAGACGATAAAAGTCTAAGGAAACTGGATTTAAGTGGGACCATTTGTGACCCCTCCATTGTTTCCTGGAATTTTTCTAGTGCGTATTTAATCATTTCAGCACTACTATACTAGGGCTATTGTTGATTGTTGGTGCTATTGAATATATATTTGGGAGTTGGTTATTGGGAATTTTGTTTACCAAGCCATTGAGTAAGGCATAAATGGCATCACCGTCCGAGGATTCACGTCGAGGCAGCACGTTGCGGCATCAACCTCCGCACCAGTAAAGATGATAACGGTTTAAATGCAAAAATTGATGTTGAAAAATTTGATGGCAAAATAATTTGGCTTGTGGCAAAGTGAGGTAATGGATAGCTTATATCAACAGGATTCGATATCGTTCTGGAGGAGGAAAAACCAGAAGATGTCTATGAGAACGACTGGGTGAGGTTGAATGTAAAAGCGTGTGGGAAATTCGCTCATGTCTTTTGTAGAAGCAGAAATATCCATCATGAAAGAGACTTCTGCCAATAAGTTATGGAAGGCGTTGGAAAACAAATACATGAAGAGAAGTAATGAGAATCGGCTCTATTTGATGAAAAGATTGTTGTCTTCAATTGAGACCTGGTACGAATATCAGTAGCCATTTGATACATTTAACAGATTAATTGCTGATTTGTTAAATTTGGATGAAACATTCAAAGATGAGCATAAGGCTATATGTTAATTGATCTCTTCCAGAGAGATTGGACTATCTTAGTATTACACTTCTTCATGGGAAAGAAAAATTGTCCTTTGAGAAGTTTGTTTTCTGTCCAATCATGAATTCGAAAGAGGATCAGAAGGAGAATAGCGATGAGTCCGCAGAAGCTCTTGTAGCAGAGGGCGAAGTCAAAATCAGAGTCGTAAGAAGGAGAGAGAGGAAGATCTCGTTCAAAGGAAAACTCAATAGGGATCAATAGCCTTTGCCGTGAGAAAGGTCATTGGAAGAAAGATTGTCCGAGTTGCAAAAGAAAGAGGGCAAAGCTACTTCTGATGCATACGTTGTTCAGCGTGAAGAGGATGAGTCAGATTTCTGTCTAGTAGCCTACCATCCACCTCTGGATCAAATGAGTGGATTAAGATTTAGTAGTACTATCATATGTGTCTCCACCAGGACTGGTTCTTTAATTTTGAAGAACGTGATGAAGTTATTATATAGGCAATGATGATGCTGTATAAAACATTGGGATAGGTTCAATTCGGTTGAAGTATCTGATGGGTTAACTAGAACTTTGACAGATGTCGGTATGTACCGAAGTTGAAAAAGAATCTCATCTCTTTGGAAGCCTTGGAATCTAAAGGCTTTACGGTGAATATGCGAGATGGAATTCTAAAAGTTTCTTCAGGCGTCTTGTGGTAATGAAAGGCACAAGGAGAAACAACTTGTATTACTTAATGGTAGTACAGTTATTGGAACGACAGCTGCATCGTACAGGAGGATGCAGATTCAAAAATGCTCAAACGTGGCATATGTATGTGGAGCATACTCAGCAGCAGGTGGAGTTTGAAACAACAGTTGAACCAGATAGTGTCCAAAAGATAGAAATGATTCTGAGGTGATAATGTGGATACTATTGATGAAAAGGAGATTTTACCCAAGAATCTCCTCAGCAAGGATCGATGCATATAATAGGTCAAGACGAGAAACTCGCAAGCCTGCTCGTTTCGCTAATATGGTGGCTTATGCACTTCCATCGTAGGTGATGATATTTCTACTACTTATAAAGAAGTTTAGGAGTTCAATTATGATCATGGAAACCGGCCATGAATGATGAAATGCGATCCCTACATAAGAAGGCGATTGGGTGCAAATGGGTGTATGCAATGAAGAAGGGATTTCCTAATAGAGAAGATGTTCGGCACAAGGTTAGGTTGGTTGTAAAGGATACGCTCAAATGGAAGGATTTGATTACAATAAAGTGTTTTCTCCTGTGGTAAAGTATTCTTTCCATTCTAATTTTGCTAACCTTGGTGGCACAGTTTGATTTTAAACTGGTTCAATTGGATGTGAAAATGCGTTTTCACATGATAGTTGGAAGAGGAAATCTACAAGAATCAGCCAGATGATTATAGTGGTTGCTGGAAAGAAAAATTGGGTTTGCAGATTGAAGAAATCGCTATATAGTTTGAAGCAGTCACCAAGACAAGCGATTTGATCAATGTATGATGGGCCATGGGTACACAAGGCCTGATATTTCACAAGCAGTTAGTATGGTGAGCAGGCATATGCATGTTCTTTGGTAAATGACATTTGCAAGTTGTGAAATGGTTTCTACAGTATATTTTATGTACTATAGATATTGGTTTAGTTTTTGTGTGGGATTATATTGAGAATGGGAAAATGACTCTACAGAAGATTGGAACAGAAGATAATCCTACAGACATATTGACTTCAGTAGTGACAAGGGTCAAGTTCATTTATTGTTTGAACTTGATCAACATCCTACGAGCTTGATTGTGCTTTTTGGCACATTTGAAGGTGTTGCAAAATTTGACAGAAGAATACAAAACTTTAAAGGTTTGTTAATTCGCCAAGGTGGAGATTTGTTGGAAAAATGGCTCATTTAGCAAATGACATGGGGGTAGAAGTGATAATGGAAAAAGGTTTAGGGACTTATATGTAATAGGCCAAAATGTTAGTTTGTCTCACATTGCTTGTGAATGAAAAGTGGGAAACTTTTAGGGCCTATATATAAGGACTTAAATCATTGTTATTTGTATCTCAATTGTAATTCTATTATACTTCTTTTGTTTAGGGTCCTTTCTTTAAGGACCCTTTAGTTTGTAAGTTTTGTTGTATCTCTCCTTTGTTTTGGGTATTTGTTGTATTGCCCAAAAGTTTGTAATATCATTTGGAGATAGTAGAGTTTTCTTTTGCAGTGTCCAAAGACGTAGGTTTTAATACCGAATCTCGTTAATTCCTGGTATTCTTTATTTTTGTATTTAATTTTGGTAATTTATTTATGCTTTACTACTTGTTATTATTATATTTAATAAGCTAGCAGTAGAATTTATGTTTCGATTGCATAACACATTATTCGTTACCATAACCCCAAAATGTCAAATCGTCCACCGAGAAACTTGTATAGGAAGGCATAATCTTTAGAAAAAGTGCAAATGAGAACTTCTTTTGACGTGGTTGCTTTTTGTGGGAACTCTTTTAATATTGGTGGAATCTTCAGGAGAAAAAGAGAACAAAACATTTAGTTACAATTTTATTTTTATTTTATATGCATACTTTTCCATCATGGATTTAGTCACTTTTTCTGTCACTAACCCGACACAAATTAGATTAGTCCATCCTGGATTTTGGCTAATTGATCATGAACCAAATGAGATATACTGCTCATTATTCCTTCGATTCAAAACTCAGTTGCACTTTTCTTCTTCTTCTTCTTCTTCTTCTTCTTCTTTTGCTTCTTCTTTTTATTTAATAAAAATTGTTGAGTCCAGTAATATCCTCCATATTGTAGGGCAGAGATGATCATTTAGACCATGAATAATAATACTATATATATAACATTATGTGATAAAAGATGATTAAGTGAAAGTTTAATTTTAATTTAAAATCAACCAATCATATTTTGTCACATAATGTTGTATGAAAAATGCTATATGTGTAGTATTACTATTAGACCGTTGGCTATTGACAATTGTTTGCACTTGCACAAACAAGAAGCAAAAAGGAAATTACAACTCCCGTAAATTTACTAGTTATTTTTATGCTTCTTTCAACGTGCATTTTTTTTTTTCTTAAAGATTTTGGTAATTCTAACCACTACAACAAAAGCAAGGACCAAAATTAATATGGAAATTTGCTAAATACCTTGAAATGGGGTTGTCTTATTTTCAAAATGTTATGGTTTTCCTAATTAATTATAGGTTTTGTTGGTATTTCTTCATGCATGCATTTGCGTTGATTGTTGTTTGATATTATTACAATATTAGAAAAAATATACTTCCTTGATATGATATATTTTCTATTTTCTTTCTAATAATTTTTTTTCTAGTATGGTAAATCAAGATTCAATAGAGAAATGAGTTGTCTTATCAATAGTACAATACCAAATTCAAATGCATTGCATTTAGACTTATCACCAAGAGTCGTAAATACAATTTTGCAACTCAGGCTCCATTTCCTGAGCAGCCCTTTGCGAGTTCTCTTGTATCATACGAGATGAGCTTGAAATGTAACGAATACATTTTAGATGATCGCATAAGTCAGCCATCTTTTAGACGATCCGTTTTGGTTCTGTAAACATCAATACCTCAGCAACGATCGTGGCCAGTTGATCTAATTGTTACAGCCTTGGAATGGTGTGTACAATCAAAGAGAACAAGTAATTAAAAACATTATCTTTTGGTGGTATAAAGGGAAAGTAACCGTTATATGTTAGAACTGTCACATGTATTTACATCTTTCAAAGATTAAGCAAAATTAGATGAATGAGGATCCAAATCCCAGAATAGGGATTCAACAGACGTGCTGGTGTGTAAGCCTGACGAATTCCCGCTAGGCTTAAACCATTCATCTTGCAACATAATATCTTCTGCGCGCAGCAGAGATTCTTCAAGCATCTTTTTCTTATATCCGCGCCAAGCGTGCTGTATTAAACGAGCTGCGCTAGATCTCCTCCAACCGGTGTAGTAGCTATACAAATATTCTTGCTGATTACGGGTAGTCCTAAATTGAGAGACTACAAACTTCAAGTCAGCGGCCGTTAGAACAAAGGCTTCCACTTCAGTTAGGGCTCTAACAGTTCTAGTTGAGAAGGGGAGGTCGTTCGAGGACTGAAGATTCAGTGCCCACGAGATAAGTACTTCTCCAAAGTAGTCTCCATCCCTAACATAGTAAGCGTTATAGAAACGTGCTCTTCCACCATCAGTTGCCACGCTTGATAGCTTGCCTTGCATGACAAACAACATCTCATCAACTGGGTGACCCTCCCGAACAAAGTAACTATCCTCTGTGTACAGCATCGGCTTGAGTCGGTCGCACAATTCATTCAAAAGTGGTTCATTCATGTTTTGAAACAGTGGTACCTAAACACAGCCAAGGTGAAAAAGAAGAAGAAGAAATTAATAATGAAATTTTTCTTTCAAGAAACAATTATCCACGATTAAGAAACTTACTTTCAACAGTAATTCTAAGCCGAGTTCACTCTTTACTCTATTTCTAAGGTCCTTGGGAAGATTTTTAACCAAATTTTCTACGTCAACACCTTTGGTTTCTCGCCATACATATTGTCGATATTTCCTAACCTTCTGTTGAAGATTGTTTGACAGCTTTCTAAAACCCATCCACTGCTCTATCTCTTGTCCCTTTAATCTCATCTCTTCTGATTTTGCACTTTTGGACTGTAGGTATATCTGTTTCACACAAATTAAACATAGTTTATATTCAAATAAATTAAAATTTTAACTTAAAAGTCTAAATTGAGAGATGGGAAACAGAATTTTTTTACCGACCTGCACATTTCCAATGAGATATATAAAGAACACCAACCCAGAGAGGGTAATGAAAATTCCAAAGAAGTTTTCCCAGACATAAGAACTTGTCCGGAGGTTTTGACCAAAACAACTGCAAATATTTAGATCCAATTAAAATTTGTCAAACATATTTCAGAAGTAAAAAATAACAAAATTTCAAGCCTATATATATATATATATAGGGAGAAGTAACGACAAATTGGTACCTAAAAGGTTTTGAAATGACAAATAGGTACCTCCCGTCATGTTCTGTTAATGATTTCTGTTTATTAATAGTGAAAAGACTAAAATGCCCTTAAAAGTTTGATTTTAGTTTTTTATAAATTTAAAAATATCTAAAAAACCCCTAGGTTTACAAATTTAACTAAATAACCCAATATATAAATTTTTTGTAAAATAACAAAAACACCCCCGTCACCCGCACTGCCAGATTCCGGCCACCACCGTCGGAATCTGGCCGGGAAGTTGCATTACGACACAGATCCGTCGGATCTGTGTCGTAAGGCCTCGATCTGGCTTTTTCCGGCCAGATCCGTGGCTGATCTGGCCGGAAAAGGCCAGATCTACAGCTAGATCTGGCCGTCGACGTCGCAAAACTCCATCTGCGGCGTTGAAGGCTAGATCTGGCCGTAGATCTGGCCTTTTCGGGCCAGATCAGCCACGGATCTAGCCGAAAAAGGCCAGATCTGGCTGCTGCTTCGACGGCTAGATCTGGCCTTTTCCGGCCAGATCTGTGGCAGATCTTGCCGGAAAAGGCAAGATCGGCACGTTACGACACAGATCCGACGGGTCTGTGTCGTAACGCAACTTTCCGGCCAGATTCCGGCGGTGGTGGCCGGAATCTGGCACTGTGGGTGGCGGGGGTGTTTTTGTTATTTTATAAAAATTTTATATATTGGGGTATTTAGTTAAATTTGTAAACCTAGGGGGTTTTTTAGAAATTTTTAAATTTATAAAAAACTAAAATTCAAACTTTTAAGGGCATTTTAGTCTTTTCACTATTAATAAACAGAAATCACTAACAGAACATGACCGAAGGTATCTATTTGTCGTTTCAAAACCTTTTGGGTATCAACTTGTCGTTATGGCAAACCTTGGGTATGCACAAGTCGTTCGGCCATATATATATGAAGAAACAGGGCAGCCTCTGTATAGGCTATACATGAATAGTATAGAGTAAATGACTTTTTCCCACCCAAGGTTTGCCTAAATCACCTTTCCCGCCCAAAAAGTTTCAAAATACCACTTTTCCACCCAAGTTAATATTTCGTTACTATCCAAAGCCAATTCAGATAGCGAAAATTCTCTCTGTCACTACCATTTGAATCTTTGGTCTCTTCTCTACAAAACCCTTCTCACTCTGGCATCTAATTTTTCGTCGATTGTCGACCACCACAAAGCTAGAGTTTCTTGTTTTTAGCTAATTTCCGGTTGTTTCCGACTGCGTATATCCAATCAGTCATCACCATTTGATCCACCTGCTTTCACTCTACAAAACTCCTCTTACCCTAACTCTTGGTAACTCACCGAACGTCGATTAACAAAGTGAAGTGTATTTTGAGTATTAATGAAATATAAACTTTGGGTGGGAAAGTGGTATTTTGAAAATGTTTGGGTAAAAAAGTGATTAAGGCAAACCTTGGGTGGGACAAAAACGTTTACTCTACAACATAAAGGAAACAGAATCGACGTTTAACCACCCGATAAAATTACTGACATAAAGCCNAGGAAGAAGAAATTAATAATGAAATTTTTCTTTCAAGAAACAATTATCCACGATAAAGAAACTTACTTTCAAGAGTAATTCTAAGCCGAGTTCACTCTTTACTCTATTTCTAAGGTCCTTGGGAAGATTTTTAACCAAATTTTCTACGTCAACACCTTTGGTTTCTCGCCATACCTATTGTCCATATTTCCTAACCTTCTGTTGAAGATTGTTTGACAGCTTTCTAAAACCCATCCACTGCTCTATCTCTTGTCCCTTTAATCTCATCTCTTCTGATTTTGCACTTTTGGACTGTAGGTATATCTGTTTCACACAAATTAAACATAGTTTATATTCAAATAAATTAAAATTTTAACTTAAAGTCTAAATTGAGAGATGGGAAACATAATTTTTTTACCGACCTGCACATTTCCAATGAGACATAGAAAGAACACCAACCCAGAGAGGGTAATGAAAATTCCAAAGAAGTTTTCCCAGACATAAGAACTTGTCCGGAGGTTTTGACCAAAACAACTGCAAATATTTAGATCCAATTAAAATTTGTCAGACATATTTCAGAAGTAAAAAAAAAAACAAAATTTCCAGTGTGTATATATATATATATATATATATGAAGAAACAGGGCAGCCTCTGTATAGGCTGTACACGAATGGTATAGAGTAAATGACTTTTTCCCACCCAAGGTTTGCCTCAATATTTTTCCCACCCAAAAAGTTTCAAAATACCACTTTCCCACCCAAGTTAATATTTCGTTACTATCCAAAGCCAATTCCGATAACAAAAATTCTCTCTGTCACCACCATTTGAATCTTTGGTCTCTTCTCTACAAAACCCTTCTCACTTCGGTACCTAATTTTTCGTTGATTGTCGACTACCACAAAGCTAGAGTTAGATGTTGAACTTATAGCACGTGACTAAAAAATTATACACAGTAGACACTAAAAGACGTAACTCACACCTGAAATTTATATGTGAGTATAAAATTTAATAAACTCTCAAATTATTTAGACTCAAACCCTAACAAAAGCGATGTATCAATTAGGTTAACTGTGCAAGATAACAATTGAAATAAAGCATAAAATAAGAATTCCAAATTTAGAAATATATGTTCACTGATAACAAACAGTGTGAACTGAGATTATATGAGTAAACAGCTTCTATATATATACCAGAATAGAGATTTAAGAGCATTATATATATAGTAATAGGGCACATCTAAGAAAAGGGAAAAAAGTTGAAGTTTCTTACATGCACAAGCACAAATTTACCTGAGGTTTTGCAGGTCCCATAGAAAGGAATATAAGAACTTCTGCGGAAGATCTGTCACCTCTACGATGCCAGACTGAAGAGCATCCTGGTACATTCCAAAATCAAACATAGTGGTATTTGGCGGTTTTGTTGGGCATAAATCGTTTAAAAAAGTTGTGTCTCCCAAAGTATCATGACAGTAGAGAGATCTATGACCGCATCCAGGGTGATTTGCGCAGGCTCTCTTCCAGCAAACAGTGTCTCTATCTATAGCCAAAAAGTACCATAAAGATCCATAGACCTTCAAGAGTATACAAGATTAGCAAGACAAATATATCATTATGCACAGTTGAGAAATAATTACATGTCCAATGACATAAAATTGACACGGTAATTATTCTTTAAGTATGCAACTATATTGAGTGTCCAAGATGAAGGGATGCTGTAATCGTAGATGATACTACAGTATAGATTGTTCAAACACTATATTGTATTAATTTTTGTGAAAAGAGTCATGCACTTTGTATGAATCAAGTAAAAATCTTTTCTTTTTTTTTTACACAGAAACAAATATATTGTGTAATTAGCCGAAAATGTGTTTAAGAGGCTAAAACTGTACTAAGACGACCCAAAATGAGCAAAAATTGTGAAGAATTCTTTGTAAATTTATGCATAAATAATATCCAACTTACATGACTTGCAAGCACGTAAAGAAGAAGGTTGAACGCTACTTTGGTGAATCTAGATTCATAAAGATTCCCGAAAGTCTTTTTAACTTTTCTAAATAATGGGTAGATCCGAATTAACCTTGGCACATATTGGAAAATAACAAAATATTGCAATAACTTCATTGCGTTCCGAAGTTTCCAGCCTCTTATGAGAATGTAGTTCACCACCTGGACAAAGTAAAACAAGAACTTGAATGATTTGTTATCATATATTTAATGAAATTCCATTAATTTTCTTACCTGTGGGAGTGGAAGAATTGAGAGAAGGTCAATGGGAAAGGAATACAGCAAATATTTCCTTGCTGTTGCCCAGGATTTATCATTTAATACGCCTCTTTTATTGAGGTTACGAGGAGAGTAAGTACGCAGTTGAAAAATGATATAGATGAAATGAAAGAAATCAAAGAAAGAACGGACAACAATAACCGCAGTCCCCAAGTTCTTGTCTAATCCAAGGCACTTTTTATGATCGTTGATCACCGGAATGTACAAGAATAAAGGATCCAAAAAGATTGCAGCCAAACAGAAACTCAGTAAAATCCAATTCCTAGATAGTAGGTGATGGATACTGGTCATCTGATAAAGCAAGGTATCGATGACACTGAACACATAACGGTAAAATGATGTCACTGGTAATACTGGTGATCTAGTCCTCCTCCGAGTCCCTTTAAATTGTGTCAGCGATGGCATATATTGGAGACCTTGTAGCCTCGATGGCGTAGCTTCGTAAGGTTGTTGCCACAATGGCATGGCTTCCTCTATGTCCTCATCGAAACTGAAGCAAAAAAAAATAAATAAATAAATAAAATAAAATACATATATGTATATAAAATAAACGTAAGTAGTTTAAAGATCATCTCATGGTTCTAAACGTCAAAAGCTATGAAGAAGTAAAATGCATATGAAACAGCCCATATACAAGGCAAATTACAAGGTTTACCTTCTCAGGTATTGTTTCACAGCTTCTAGCAAAGAAGGGCTTAATGTTCTACAACTAAACTAACAAAGTTTCTGCAATTTCTTCTAGAAATTACGATTGAAGAAGCATGCTTAAAAGATGTTTTAACATGATTTAGAGAGATTTTGGGAGGTGAAATGAAGGATCTTCATTCAAAGTGTAAGCAAGTATAAATGAGGATCCCCAGACTCTGGAGTCTGGAGCATGAACCAAAGATCGAATGTGTTTTTAGTCAACTACTTTTGCTCTTAGACCTTCTCTCTCTATTTTTTTATTGAACAAAATAATCTGAGGGCCGTGTGGCCTCCCCAGTTCACCTTCTTCTCTCCTTCGTATCTACCTAACTTGCATATTGATTCTGTTGATCATCTTCCTATGTGTTTCCTTTTCCCTTTTCTACGAGTCTTTGATTGGAGATATCCTAAATTTGTTCTCTTTCTATATAATTAAGACTGATATGATAGATTTTAATATATCTTGCCACAGTGAACCATTTAGAAAATGGTTCACATATTTAGCTAGCAACAGTCAACAGTTCCGCGTAGATAAGATAAAGTAGCGTAAATCTAGGGAAAAGTACGGTATAAAGGAAAGTAAAGAAAAGTGAAGGACACCAATGACTTGGAAATTTGGGAAGAGGGTGGGTCTTTTTTGCGTGCTATTCTTTCTTGCATTATTCTAGTTTCTAAAAATTCAATTATTCAGACTATATGGCTTTGAAATTTTTAGTCAAGTAGGATCTCATTGCTTAGTCTATTTATGATTTCCTTATAATTTCGTATAGTAACTGCAGAGGCAAGATAATTTATTCATCTTTCAATATAAAACCATATAGAATATTACAGGGATCATCACGTTACCTTAAATTATTATCAAATTGTCATTTTGGATAGTTCCCAAAATTGTTATTCTCCATTAACAGGTAAAAGGATAATTGTGAATTCATATATTCAATAAATATAATGAAATGTTTGTATATCATTAATTTAATGAAAGAAAATCAAAGGAAGGAAGGGGATAAAGACATAACGTAGGTCAACGAGATTCGAAGTTATTTATTATTTGTTGATGCGGGATTTTGCACCAACGAAACGTACGTGCAAAATGTTGCAGGGGACCCCGAAATCACACGTGAAAGTAATGGATGAGAGATAATAAATGCAATGGAGACAGTTTTTAAAGTGGTTCAGATGCTAAGATAGCAAGTCCTACGTCCACTGATGCTTATATTGATGATAGGGGTCAGGTCGCTATTAGCTGACTGACTTTATAATGCTATTACAAGGTATCAATTGCNCTCCAATCCTGTCTTTCATGGTAGGACTAAACATATTGAGCTAGATGCTCACTATATACGGGAAAAAGTTACAGCCAACAAGGTGAAGGTTCAATATGTTCCAACTGAGTATCAAAAAGCTGATATCTTTACTAAGTCACTTTCAGCTTCCAAGTTTGAACCACTTCGAGAAAAACTTACTGTACAAGCACCTGGTAGTGTTTAGTTACTGGACTAATATGCAGTTGTGGTTTATTGCAAATGTGTTCAGTTGTTTTTGCTGTTCTGGTGTAGTTTTTTATGATGTGGTATAGTTGTGGTTCATTGCGAATGTGTTCTATTGATTGCTGTTCTGGTGGAGTTTTTATGATCTGATGCAGTTGTGGTAATATGTTCTGTTGATTGCTGGTTTTTTGTGATGTATGGTCTGGTGCAGAATATTGATTCAGTCAATGAAGTTTTGGTTGTTGAGATCAATGTTGATACTGAAAAAAAAAAAATGAAATGACTGAAGTTGTTCCTCAGTTATGTTACAGATCTGGGATTTTTTTTTGAAGGTTTTTTTTTTAAGACAGTTTATTCTGGTGTTGAAGCTTGTTTTGGTGCATTGAAGCTGTTGAAACTGCATTATGGAATTCTGGTGTTGAAGCTTGTTTTGGTGCATACTCTGGTGCATTATGGAAGAGCTGCATTATGGCATTTTGTTTGTTAAAGCTTGTTTGGTACATTGAAGCTGTTTGAGCTGCATTATGGAAGAGCTGCATCGTGGAATTTTGCTTGTTAGCATTTTTTTAGAGTTCTGGGAAGTGCTGTCTGTTGTTTGGAAGCAGGTGGCATTGAAGTTGCTTGAGCTGCGTTAAAACCTACTGGATAGTTTGCATATTCTGGTGCAAACCTATAGACCAATTACTACCTATTGACCAATTGCTTGTCAGCTCCACAAAGGCAGCCAGTGAATGGTATAGCAAGGAATTGATGCTTGGTTCAAGGGTGGATATTACAGTAGTTGGTAACAGTTATTACTGATAGAAGTTTTGTTTAAGGGAGGATATTAGAATATTAAAGTAGTTTGGGATTTACTGATTTACCCTTGCCTTGTATTATAAAAGGCTTGTAAACAGTGAAAGCTTTTTACTTAACGAAAATTTCAATCTTCTTCTTCACTTGCTCTGTTTCTTTTCAGCTCATTAGGTTTTCATTTCATCTCTAAATCAACTGACCTGAACAAAACATTAGTAATTTACATTTTAGTTTGTTGCTCTCCCTTGTTCATGTGCAATTACCATATGTACATTTTGGAAACACCAAAGAGCCAATGATAGATTACAAGTTTATCATTCTTTCACCTACGTTATCAAGAAGAATGTAAAAATCACACCAAAACAAGAGAATTTCAGATTTCAATCAGGACATACCGTTTGGAAGCCATAGGACTCTCTGAGGTTTCTTAAAAGTATCACCGATTCCCATCGGTTAAGTCGACACACATCCGTAATCTTGCACGTCACTTTGGGGCTTCCTTCTTCCTTGGGTTGAGAACAGTGGGTATCAGAGCAAGGGAGCCTCGTGTTGCTTATATTATATCACCCGAAAACAAAATGCTTAGGGTAGTATTTTACTCCACCCCATTTTTGGGGCAGGGTAGTAGAGGATAAGAGAATCATCCTGATTTCAAGTCGTGTGGTCGTAAATTTTTCTTTGATGAATTATTATGAAGACATTATGATTCAAGGGATGATATGCAGATAAATCAGGAACAGGTCCCTTCTTCAACTTTTTGACGGATTTCTCACCACCAAAAAAAAAAAAAAAAAAGAAATTATATTTCATCTTTATCAGTTTACCGGTAATGTTGTCTCTAATATTGGCACAAAGCTCGGACAGCTATCAGAAGCTTGCCAGAGGTAGTTCGAACCACGCGTACTGACCAAGATAAGTTCGACCAGAATCAGTTCAAGTCCAGAATAAGTTGACCCCGAGAAATCGCACAACAACAATCTAGCAGCTGTTCCAAAAAAATTAGAGATAAGCTTCACCAATAACAGGCAATCTCAAGGCTCAATCACAGAGATTAAATCATGTGATCCAATCCCAAACTTATCAGCTCTTTCCTTTTATTGCAATTGTCCGTTCACATTGACTTAAAAGAAGCAAGCCCATGTGTATTGTAAATTGATGTTAAATTGTGTTTGTTGGTAGTGACCTGCCACTCAAAAGTCTTTGTTTTAGATTTAGTGCGTGCACTTTGAGACCAGTATGATGTCATTGTCGGGTAAGACAGTGAAAGGGTTTCTCTGTTTCTTTTTTTGGGTTAACTTCTTTGGGTAATGGTAGTCCTAATTACTCCCTCTAACTTATTTCTCTTAATCCCTTTGAAATATAAAAACGTATCATTTGTCATTTTAACAAAGAGGAGTAAGAGAAGTAAATAGAGAGAATGAGTAACGATAACATTTCTTAATCTTGAGGCGAATGATAGCGGAAACATGTTCAATGGGATCCAGTATTAAAAAGTAACTGGACAGTGAAAGATTCAGCGTGAAATCTAATGTAATATTTTTGAAAATTATAATATATACAAACTTTGAGATACAAAGTGACAGGACTTTCTTTAATTAATTATAATTATCTTTATTAATGATTTGATTTTAGATTTGAAGTATTTATTATTGTACATTAAATATCATTTAGTATACCGTAAATATATTTTAAAATAAAAACTATTTTAAATGGTACATTTATCAATTGTTAATAGACATTTGGTCATTCTATACTTCAACTGTTTTTAGAAACATATTTTGCTAATGTATTAAAATTAGTAGAGAGTATAATTATACCTTTTTTTTTTATGTAAAATCAAAGATAATGTTTTTATTTAGGATAAATTTGACTAATTTAAGGAATTTATTGGGTGGCTGATTTGAAAAGATATACTCTCATTCAATAGATACCTTTTAAGTGTAAGTAGAGATGGGCATGCCTCGACCCCCCGGAGGATCCGTCGACCGGCCCAAAGGGTGGGGCAATCCCGAAAAAATGGGGAAGGGCACGAGATGGTCCCATCAGTGAAATCCCCACATCTGCGGACGGGCCGGGGAAGGGGATGTGCATCCCAAGCTCGCCCACCCCAACCCCATGGAGCCCCGCTCGCCTCGCTTTTTAGAATTTTATGTTTTTTTATTTATTTTCCCTTTTGAGATTGTATATAAAATTAGAGTTGTAAATCATGATGTCTTAAATAATGTATATGATATTTTACTTTATAATATTTTCTAATGTTTATATAAATTATAGACAAAAATAAGTTAACGTGGAGTCTAATAATTAAATATATGTATTATTACCTTGAATTTCACAAAAACAGATTATACTGGGACATGGCCCAAAATAAATTAATTAGATTATACAATTTAATAAACAACATAAGAATATATACAATTGTTAAGACTTACTATTACATAAATTCAATTATACCTTGTAATTACGATAATTGAATCAATTAAATATGATGAAATTACAATATAAGAGTTGTCCTTTCAAAAATGGACTAATTGGATTCAGTTGTAGTGGGAGATAGGACACTAGTACGTTTATGTATACTTTTTAAATCTTAATTTGAATTTACAAGAAATCTGTTGGACTTGATATTTTTTACCTAAATTTAGTCTTTTTAATAAATTAATACTGAAATTAAAATAGTCAAATTGTCAAATATGAATACCTATCAAGTGCTAGTTTTTTAATTAAAATAATTAAATATTATGTGTACGAAAAAGTTTTGATTACATGAGGCAAAAAATCCCGCGAAGGCCCGTTCAGCGGGTTGGTCGGGGACGGGGATGGACGAGGATTTGTCCACACGGGGAGGGCCGCGGGCTGATCGAGGAAGGGGGATAATAGGGACGGGGTACGGGCCATGGGGGCCTCGGCACGACCCAGCCTGCGCCCATCCCTAGTTGTGAGGA